AACATTTTGTGTGTGTGTATGCACCTTTGATCATAGGATCAAAGGTGCATAAACGCATTAGGATCAAGGGTGCTTACCCGCTCCATTTTTACAAAAAAAAATTTTTTGTCATATAAGATACTTCTATAGGTTACCAAAAGCAACCATACAAGAGGTGAATAGTTAAGTTACAAAATGACATAAGAAAAATTATTCAATTTAAAAAAATATTAAAGATATGAGGTTCCTTGTAAAAGTAAAAAAATTACTTTTTGTCGTCAAAATCAAACTATTTAGAAATAAATTAAATATTGGTCTATTTTTTAATCAAAACAAAATTAATTTTGACAATACAACATTCATAACACGCTGGTTATCAGCCCTCTTTAACAAGTTATGTAAGCATGGAGATAACGCTATAGGATCAAAGGTGCTTACGGATCAAGGGTGCAAGTTCTCCCCTATTGGTAAAAATTAAGTTTAAGATTTTTTTCTGCGAAAATTTTTTTTTTAATTTTTAATCATTAAAATTTTTTTCCGCGAAAAAAACTAGGGCAAGGTTGCGTAAGATGAGCAGGTTCCTAAGATGGTACAACCTCTTTTACGGGTAGACTGATGATTTTTTCGCGAACTTTTTTGGTTAAGAATATTCATACAAGTTTGATGGTGTTATTTATTTTAATCTCTTGGTTGTATAGTTAATATTTTTTGATTGTTTTAGTGTTAAAAAAATTTACTATCCCCGTTATAATTTTTTATTATTCAATATTTTGTAATTACGTCAGAACGAAACATGATCGTCAAAAATTTATTACATACTCAATATTTTATGGTTATCTACTGCTAATTCCATGAGTTACCTGAGATAATACATAAGTTGTTGTCATGCTTTTTTAATTATGATAGTACATGGTGAAGTTGCTTAGATGATATGTTTTTAGACGCTCAAGATGAGATGCATTTTTCTAAAGTTATTCTCCGCGGAGCTTTATTTTAGTATTTCAAGAGCGAAAGTTTTTTCAAAGAATATTAAAAGTAAATCGTTAACTTTTTTTAGAGATAGGAAAGATTTATTATTGTTTTTTTTTATGGTTAAGCTAATTACTTTTTTCTTAAGTATAATCCTTGAAGATACAATTTTATATATATATATATATATTTTTTTTTTTCTGATTATTTTTTCGTTATTTTCAAAATAACGAAAAAATAACTCAAATTAATTTTGAGTTTTTTTGAGTTCCTTTAAAAAAAGCTCATCTAGAAAATGGGTTCCTAAGATGAAATGATTGGATGTGTTGAAAATAACGTAATTCTTGGTATAAAGATTTTTTTTTTAAATTGGAGATATACCGTTTATTAGCAAACCAACTAGAGTAACGTCACCGATCTTAATTGACAACTTAATAACAATTAAATTTTTTAATGAATTTCTTAAAATAAGTATAATAAAAAATGACGTTTCGGATCATTTCCCCATTTTTTCTCCATTAACATTAAGAAAAAAATAATAAAAAAGCAAAAATTTGAAAGTCAAAGAAAAAAGGCAAAAAAAACAACAACATATTACTGCGATTTACTAGAGAAGCATAAATCTGTTCAAAGCGTAAGTGGCAAATTATAAGTATCTGTAAGTAAGTTATATATTACTGGTAAAAACAAATTCAAAACGTGCTCCATACTTAACACTATAAAAATAGATGGCGTATTTTTACATGAACCTACCCAAATGGCGAGGGAGATTAATAAGTTTTTTGTATCTGTCGGACCAAATTTAGCTAAAAATATTCCTAATATGATAAATCTAATAAATGATTACGCTTTTCCATTAATTTCTAAATTTAATAAAATTGAAGTGACTTTTTCAGAATTTGAAAATGCATTTAAAATGGTGAAAACTTACAAAGCAGTTGGTCCTGATGGCATAAATTGTAACATAATTATATATTCATACAACGATGTAAAGTATATTCTTTTCAAAGGTTCAATTAATCAAGGAATTTTTCCAGACCAATTAAAAATTGGCAAGATTACACCAGTATTAAAAGGTGGTGAGCCCTCAAATATCAGTAGTTATCGTCCAATATCTGTCCTCTCTGTTTATTCGCTCTAAAAATTTTAGAGCGAATTTTGTATTACCAAGTTTACAATCATCTGACTGTTAACAATATACTTTATATGAACGAATACGGTTTCAAGAAAAGCAACTCTACAGAACATCCGATAATTCATCTCACTCGAAGCATAACTGAATCATTTGAAAAATCAGAATTTACTTTTTTTATAGACTTATCTAAGGCGTTTGGTACAATTGACCATGAAATACTTTTTACAAAACTTGAATATTATGGTATTACTAAAAAAAGTTATAATGTTACTTAAAAGTAACCTAAAAAATCGCAAACAACCTGGTGGGAAATGAGCTAGCGACTAGCGAGCAATTAGCTATCTTTATAGCGATTTATAAGCAATTTTTTTTTCCTATTTTATTTTTTTCTAATATCTTTAACATCTTAAAAATTCAATTTTTACTGTTGAGCCTATTATAGTTATGAGGATAATTGAACTTTAAACATTGCGATTTTGCAGCAATATGTCGCTAGCTAAATATCGTAGTTTTGTAACTGGCTACAAAATATCTACAAATCTATAGGTGGTTGATAGCTACATGTCAAAATTTTTTAGAGAACGATTTTATTACGATATGACACTAGCTGCAATAGCCAATGGGTCTTTATCTTATTAAGCTAGCTGTCCTCATAGCCAAATTGCTGTCTTTATCTGTACAAATATCGATAGCTTTTCGCTAACTTAAAAAAGCTAGCGATCCTCGTGGCCAAATCGCTGTCTTTGTTACAATTATAGCTAGCTATTCGCTAGCCGAGTTTCCACCGGGAATATGTCCACGTCGAAGGATCTTCTTTACCTTATTTTCTAAATATAATCTGTGGAGTTCCACAAGGATCTATACTAGGACCCCTATTATTTCTAATTTATATAAATGATCTCTATAAAGGCTCAAAATTAACAGCAATCATGTTTGCTGATGATACTAACCTCTTCTTATTATGTAATGTAAATCAATAAACTTTTTAATGATATGAATATTGAGTTAATAAAAATATTTATTTATGCTTATATTATTAACTGTGTATATATATTTCTTATTTTGTGTTTACAAATTTTATATTGTCATTATTAGGGGGGCTAAAATTTTAGGGTTTCTTGTTCTCATTCTCCAAGCACAGTAATTTTTTTTTGTAAAGAATCTTTTCGTCATACATATGAACGTAAAAAAATTTGGAATGCTCTTTTTGTTTAAAAGTTGATTATTTCAAACATATGAAAACCTTCCTACGCCACTGTATATATGTATATGTATGTATATGTATGTATGTAGATGTATGTATGTATGTATGTATGTATGTATGTATGTATGTATGTATGTATGTATGTATGTATGTATGTATGTATGTATGTATGTATGTATGTATGTATGTATGTATGTATGTATGTATGTATGTATGTATGTATGTATGTATGTATGTATGTATGTATGTATGTATGTACGCATGTATGGAGGTATGTATGTATGTATGTATGTATGTATGTATGTATGTATGTATGTATGTATGTATGTATGTATGTATGTATGTATGTATGTATGTATGTATGTATGTATGTATGTATGTATGTTTGTATGTATGTATGTATGTATGTATGTATGTATGTATGTATGTATGTATGTATGTATGTATGTATGTATGTATGTATGTATGTATGTATGTATGTATGTATATGTATGTATGTATATGTATGTATGAATGTATATGTATGTATGTATATGTATGTATGTATGTATGTATGTATGTATGTATGTATGTATGTATGTATGTATGTATGTATGTATGTATGTATGTATGTATGTATGTATGTATGTATGTATGTATGTATGTTTGTATGTATGTATGTATGTATGTATGTATGTATGTATGTATGTATGTATGCATGTATGTATGTACCTGGATATCAGTGGCGGATTAAGACTTCTTGGGACCCGGGGCTATTTTTGTTTTTGGAAGCCTTTTTATCAGCCAGAGCCTAAAAATGACTAAAAAAACAAAAAACAAAGGTCCTCTAAAGTTTTTTGGGGCCCCTAAATTTTCCTGGCATGAGGCTATAGCCCCCCCCCCCGTTGATCCGGCACTGATGGATATGTGTACTTGTATATGTGTGTAACTCATGGAGAAGTTAGTCGTAGATTTAGAAAATGAAATAGAAAAACTTAATTGAAATATTAAATAACAATCATTGAATTAAGATTACTTGACCATATAATTTAATTTTGAGAAAGTGAAATTTATCTAAAAATCACAGACGAAAGTCGCACGAGACAGTTGTTTGGAAGGCATAAAATCTTAAACGTTAGTAAAGAACAAAAAAAAAAAAATAATAAAAAAAAAAAATACTCCACTGACGTTACATTTGCGTCACGTGGTTTCGCGGGTAACAATTTTAGCTTTCTATTGTTAGTTCGTTCCAGTTTGTTACCAGTCTAATTTGGTAAAAGGTCTTAAAAATAAATAAAATGATGCCTTTTCTCACAATACATTTTATTGTAACTTATTTTTCTGCCTGTTATTTTGTTTATTATACTATTATTTTCTATTTTTCGCTAAATGGGAACACAAATTTTGTAACTTTTAAGGAATTTGTTGAAATTCAATGAATTTTAATGTCTTTCATTAAATAAATTCATTAAAATTTCACAAATCTTTATACAAATATTTTTAGGTGTACTTTAAGGTAGTTTCCGTGATTTAATTATTATTTTTGTTTGTTAAATAATATTTTATGAAGTATGGTTTTGTATCACATTGAAATGTTATCAGAAACAAGTAATTATAACGTTTAGTATGTCGCAACTTTTATATATAAATAACTGTAAATTGATTAAGAAAACAACTTTGTATATGTATTTTTTTTATCATTTTTTGTGAGTGACTAATAATAATGTTGTTTTTTAGATTAGGTCATGTTTCATGAAAGTCAGGAAATAGAGTTTTTATTTAACATTTTACCAAAAAGTAATATTGAAGCAAATTTGAATTCATCATCTATAAATATTGAAACTGATGTCACTTCATTGTCTACAAATGAATTTTCAAATTTGTTGAACGACTTTACTGATATTTTAGCAACAGACTTACTTAAAAAATCTTATATAATAGGTGATCAATTGAGTTTATTCAAAAACCATAATGCTGGCACTGAAGCTTCAAATCGTAAAATAAAAAAACGTAAAAATTACAAATGGTGCAGAAAAAGAAAAATTAAAAACAGTGTTAATGATGAAAAAAATATAAAAGGTTTTACAGGTGAAATTAATTTTGATGGTGAAACAAGTAACTTTATTCAACAACCATATCCAGCTTTAAAAGAATGTTTTGTATCGCTTGTTGATATTATGACTTCTCATAAAGTTCTTCAATATTATAATATTAAACCTTCACATAATAACTCTGAATCTTATATCAAGAATACAGAAAAGAAAGATATAACTAAATTTGAAGTTAACAAAAGTGTTTGTTATGAGTTGGAGAAAGTGATTTCTTGTGATGATGCTTCTCAAATAAATAATAAAGATTTTTTTACAAAAGAAGTTAGTACTAGTAGTTGCACCAGTGAGCTAAATTACTTACACTGTTCAAACAATAAAAATAAATCAACATTTAATAAAAAGATAGAAAATAATTTATTTTGTATGCAGTTACTTCGTTCATCGTGCATTGGTGTTTTATCAAATCTTCAAAATTCAGAAAATTTTCTTTTTTCACCTGAAACAGGTTATAGTCAGCTGTGTTCTAACAGCTTACTTAATACCGTTACTAAAAACTCAAAACATTTCATAACTGACATAATATCTATAGATACAGTAGTTAACAACAATCAAATATTTACAAATGAAAATGAAAAAAATAGTTGCTCAGAAAAAATAACTTTTAAACAAGAAAATAGAGACATTAAAAAAGATAATTTAGAATGTTTTTTAACTAAAGAAAAATATAAACCAATGATTGTTATGACCTCTGCCAAAAAGAAAAATATGTTCAATGGTAGTTTGTATACTGAAACCAGTAAGTTGTTGTTTGATCCACCTGTAAACTTCTAATTTATCATCTATCAGTTTATAATTGTTTTATGCTTGTTAATGAAGGTGATACAACAGAGATTAGTGTTGTGGAAAATAGCAATCTATCAGGAATTCCGATCAGAAATAAATATATCCACAATAATTCTACTATATTTTGTAAGGGGGATTTATTACCATACTATAAAAGTTATTCTTTAAACCCTTTGTATTTAGGCCTACCTAGATCTTCTCATGCACTCAAACCAGATAATGGCAGATATAGTGATAGTACCCCAGTTATAGTACCAAGAAATGGTGGCAAATGGATACCAGCTTTTACTTAAATTTTACTTAGAAAATTTAAAATAATGCATTATAGATTATGGTAAGTTTTGCTTTAGATTTTATTCTGAAAACAATTTCTAATTTGTTTGATAGTGTATAAAAAGGGTAATTTTGTTTTTGTCATATTTATCCAATGCAGCTCTTATCTGTATTGGAAAAATATACACATTATTGTTAAAACACAAAATTTGTTATTAAAACTGTTGTTTGCAAAATAAATATAAAATAAATTCATCATTGTTAGGTTTAGAAGCTTTTTCAATATTTGTAGAACAAAAACACTGAGGATATCTAATATTTAAAAAATAATATAATTAAAATTAAAAGAAAATTTACTTCATAGACTTTCATTATTAGAAAAATGCCATTCTTACTTTGATAGACCACAAGCAAAGTTGATTAAAAACAAGTTTATTTAACACACTTACAGTGTTTAATAAACTTGTTTTTAAAAGTGTTTACTTACTCACAAGTTACTTTATGTATGTATGTGTTCTGTTTAAATGTATAAATCTCTTTTGATGCAGTGTGACTCATTAACTAACTAAACACTCAAACAATAAACCTACACTCTCTCTTATCTCTAATATTTTTTTAGATGTATTATTTTTCCAAATCCATTTCCGAAATATCATGCCAGATGTGTTTTAAGGTATTGTTTGCAGACAGTAGCTCCTTTTAATTACTCCAGGTCAGGTTTAGGATCATCACAATAAACCTGCTACTGATATTATGTAATCCAGTACTACCTACCCCATGCCCTGCTGCCTTGTTGAGTGTCCTTTTTTTAGGCAAAGACTAGGAGAAACAAAGTCCGAATTAGGGCTCTTGGTTGAGTAAAGGCTAGAGTTGATGTCTCAATAAAAATACTTATCTTGGTAAGATGTTAACTGCATCCAGTTAAAATTCCTCTGCCTTAGGGCTCTTGTTTGGATAAAGGCTAGAATTGATGTCTTGATGAAAATACTTATCTTGGGTAGATTTCACCTGCATCCAGCTGCTTTCTTGTAGGAGGCTTCCTAGGCAAAAATTTTAGGGTCAAGCAGAATAATTCTGCTAATCAGCCTCAAACCCCTCCTTCATCTATTAGTGTGGCGTAGATGTAAACCTGTTACATTGTTTCCTGCCTAATATGAAGAATCCTGGATCTTTTTGACTCTTTTCATAGGTTTTTGCTTGTGTCTCCTTGATAGTTCCTATGCAACTCTTCCTGTTATCTCATAAAGAGGGTACAGTTTTAAAACTCAGATTAATGGTTTTGAGGCCAGCTAGTGGTAAGGTTTCCCGAACTCTATGGTAGCTCTCAGAGAGACTGATACCATCAACAACTGCGAAATATCAGAGTATTAACAGTGCCATGTTGTGGATGATGATGGATGGTGTCTCTGTTAATACTTTTGGTGCGCATTGTCCAGGCCATATAAGCCCTATTTAACGACTTAGTGTTAATTAACAGGATTGAGAAAATTGCATAGCTCATTGCTTTGGAGGTTGTGCTCTATAAATGAGTCAAATTCTCTTTGAATATAAATTATGCCAAAATTAACCCAAAATTATAAACATAAAAATCTATTCCCTCCACCAAACTGTTTTAATATATCTTTTACTAATATTTGTGGTCTGCAAAGCAACCTTCCATCAGTTGACTCTTACCTATTATAGAATTTGCCATATTTGCTTTTTCTAATTTAAATTCTGCTATTCTTTTTAATCTTAGTGTTGATGGGTATTACCCTTTGATTAGCAAATACTCCAATAGTCACATGCTTCGCTTGGGGACATACACAGGGGCGTGCTGGCTCAAAAAAGCACATGCAGGATTTTTTCAAAAAGGCCCATATATGCAGGATTTGACCAAATATGATTTGAAGGCCCACATTTGTATATATATTTAAATATATATGTTTAAATATATATGTATATATATATATAATATATATATATATATATATATATATATATATATATATATATATATATATATATATATATATATATATATATATATATATATATATATTTATATATTTATATATCAATAAAAAACTGACTTAATCCAGTTAAATCAACATACTAAAGCAACAAGTTATAATTGGATTAAAAATGGCATCGTGCTGCGGCAAGCACGTTTTATTGTGCTACGGTAAGCACATCTTATGTTTTCATTCCTAAAAATAAACTATTTTTACCGCGTTTTTATGGTAACCAAATAGAATTTCTATTTTATTGTTAAAAAAACATTAACGTTAAAGTTTAAAAAGTATATCTATTTTTATACTGTATATATATATATATATATATATATATATATATATATATATATATATATATATATATATATATATATATATATGTATATATTTATTATATTTTTGTTTTAGCGTTATTACATATACAAGAATTATTGTATTTTATGTTATATAAACAAAGTTTTCCAAAAAAACCTTTTTCTTCGAAATCATTAAGTTTTTTTACATCGCAAGAGCAGTTTTTTAAAAACTTGCGCAAATTATTTATATTTAAAAACATTATGCAGGGCTGACGACACTGGGGGCCAGAGGGGCATGTGTCTTGATATAGAGGACTTTTTTCACAAATTGATGATTCCCCCCCCCCCCCTCCTACTTCAAAACCCGTGTCGTTGGCCCTGTTACGATTTTTGTTTATGAAAAAACAATTAATCGTTCTAAATTAACAAAAATTTTATCAATATGAATATTTTTCCATAATTTAAAATTGAATACAATTATTTTTCATAATAATCATTGACTAACCTAAATAATTTTATCTTTATAACGACTGATATAATAAGCAATTTAAGTGATGTAACTATCGATTATTTTTTCCAATATCGACTTTTGACGCAAAAGTTACAAACGGTTGCATTTTATTATGCAAAATACTAATATATATGGGCTTGAAGTCCGACAGTTCAATTCAGAAATATTTAAAAGAATCTAACATGTGAAATAAAAAGTAAAGCAAATAAATATCATTTGTGAATCATTTTCAGAATGTAGTAAAGAGTATAAAAATTCAAAAAATGGTCCTTGGATAAATAGCGATAGGCCCAAGCGGGATTCCCGCATAGCCTCTGGGGCCAGCACGCCACTGGGCATACATACCTATTTGTTGTAAAATCAGGTTTGAATCCCCTGATCATTCTTTTATGTGCTTCCGCTTAGCACCTCTTCACTCTATCACCTTTGTCTTTGTTCTTTATCACTCCTTCTTCCCAAGACTGCACTATTTTAGATGTAATTTCTGATGAAATTGACCGGCGCCCTCTCTCTTTACCCCTCTGCCAATATTGTTGTTATTGATGACTTTAATGCTCATCACACTGAATGGCTTGTCTCTAATGCCACTGACCCTGCTGGCACTTAGCCTGTATCTTCTGCATTTCTCAATCTCTTACTCAGATAGTTAACTTTGTGACTCGTTTTCCTGGCAACTCTAATTACAGGGTTTTGCAAAGTTGTAAGTGCATGTTTGCAAAGTTATAAGTGCATGTTTGCAAAGTTATAAGTGCATGTTTGCAAAGCTATAAGTGCGCGCTTGCAAAGTTATAAGTGCATATACATTTTTTTGGAAATTATTTTTTTAGCTTTAATAATATTGCGCAAAATATTAAATTAAATTACAGCATAGCAATCAATGTTTTTTTTTTTTTTTTTTTTTTTTTAAAGGGATTAGTGAAAATTCTTTACATTTTTACTTAATTTAGCATATTGTTATATATTAATAACTTTTCTAGATTAAATACTTTCATAATTTTTGAAAAATAGTATACATGATTTAATCATAATATTTTTTAAAAGGCATGCAAAAATATACATTATTAAATAAAATAAACAAATCATTTTAAATATTTTAATTAAATAAATTCTTCTCTTATTGCCTTTTCCAACCATCTTCTCATATTTATATAAAAGGCATTGCACTGTTGACTATAATTATTATCAGGTGATAAAATATATTCTAGAGTTTCTTTAACAGTCATATCAGGATTAGTATTTCTCGTGGATTTGAAATTGGATTTTGACATTGAAAAGAACTCTTCGATTGGGTTCAATTCAGGGGAGTATGGTACTAAAAACTTGTGAGTAATATTTTTTTCTCTTAGTAATTGAAGTACTGCAGCTGCTTTATGAAATTTTGCATTATCTAGGATAAGAATTTTATTTGGATTTACTGCAAAGAATGGTACTTTGTTTGATGATGACTTTTGTTTGTTTAATGGTAGTTTGTTGTTGATGAAATCAATAAATGATTGTGTATTGTATGCGCCGCTTTTGTATTGGTAACATTCAACTCCTAAATTGGAAATTAAGCACATGAGGCTAACATTTTGTCCTTTATTTGCAGGAACTGTCAAGTACGCTTTTGTATCTTTTGGAGAATAGCCATATGAGCGCACTGTATGTTTATTGAATCCGGTTTCGTCTAAAAAAACCAAATTTGAATCAGCAATTCTAGCAACTTCTGCCGCAAAAATTGATCTCTGATTTATTCTTTCCATGGTGTTTCTTTCTTGAGGAATGATTGCTAATCTTTTTCGTGTCAAATTTAATTTCTTTAATTTACGGGAAACAAACGAGATTGAAACGTTTTTACCATGTTGTTCTAAAATTTGCGTTTGAATTTCTTTTTGAACTACGGCATTGTTACAGACCACAAAATTAAATATTGTCTGTTCAATGTTTGTATTTATAGAATTTTTGATTTTATACGTTTCTTTTCTTTTTACTGTAGATGACGTGAAGGGTATATTATTATCACTATTTTTTATAACACGACCAACTGCATTTCGAGTTAAATTACAAGCATTGGATATTTCCTTGATTGAATATTTTTCACAATTTCTCATTGAAATAATCGTATTTTTAATTTCTTCTGTAATTGTTTTCCGTACTTTTCTTTCCATTGATATTTTAAAATATAAGAGTTAAAATTAATTTTATAAATGCACTTATAACTTTGCAAACGTGCACTTATAACTTTGCAAAACCCTGTATTTATCTTCACTTACCTTCACGT